AATTCTCTTAAAAATCATAGAAACACTTTACTTTACTTACAAGATATGAAATATAGGAATTAAAAATATCCCAGATTTCATTAGCATCATTCTTTGTATGAATGGTTACATTAGTAGACGCGAAAGAATTTGTACGTTTGAAAGAGTCAAATTTCGCATAGTGATATAATTTTCGTGCTTTTTTTTCTTTCTTTTTCTTGCTTACTTTTTGGGAGTGGGGATAAGCACGCAATCTTATTCCATTAAATAAAAGAACAGCGTAGTTAGTTAGTAAAAAGAATGCATTTTTTAATAATCGTGATCCGTATTCAAAAATAGCATCAAATAAAAAATACAGCAGATGTTTGGATTCAACACCGTACATGTGTTATTTTTATTGGACATAGGCCAGCTGATTGAAAGATGCTAATTTTGAAAATTTTCATTTGAACGATACAATTTCAATAATTAATTCGCAGCATAAACCAAATCAGTAATTTTCTGTTATTTCCAACATCAACAATTGTCTTTTTGTTACTTAATTCTCAATTTCTCATCGAAAGAAGTTAGAGAATCATTTCCAGCAAATTCAAAATAATTTCATATTTTTTAGTCATAAAAATTGAAAAGTGAACAAAAATTAGTGATTAAGCAACTCGCTCTCTAGAATTATTCAATTTAAAAATGCAATGAAATCATAAGCAATATGAATAATAAAAATGTGTTCAAATGAAAAAAACAAAAAAAAAAAAACGGTAAATTTTTAAATTACAATCTTTTTTCTTCTGTGTATTTCTCATATTCTTTTAAATTTTATCACAAATATTTTTCAGTTATAAACATGAAACACAAACTGATGTTCTTAAATTCTTTAACAGTCGCCCAAGATTTACACGACTAAAAAATAAAAATGCATCAGAACTTCACACATTTTATTTTACTAACCGAAAAATTTCTTAAGTGCCAATTAGTCAATGCTACGATGTTAAAGTTGAGTAGTAACAGGAAAAAATAGCTGACATTTGCAAGGAGGACATAAGAAAAAAAAAACGAGAAAAAGGTTTAAAAAAGAAGGCCAAACATGAAAAGTCGCTGCTTAAAAAAACCCCCAAAAAACTGTTACTGATCATCCCCGCCCCTCACGAAGAAAGACTGAGTCGATTGTACAATCATTGCAACATGAGTGATATATTATTAAAATATATTTATTTACTGACAAATTATGCACAAAATAAAACTAAAAAATAAACATTACTGATTGAAGCTGAAGCATCAAGTTCAAAGCTTCAATCGTTAAAAATATGCAAGTTCGAGTCATACTTGTTCTTTTTTTTGTTAATACTCGAAATCCAAATTCATGATGAACTGATAAACCGTTTTTACTTTTATGAAAATAAAATAAATAGTAAAAACTAAAAAGCAATTGATAAATAGTTTACATGTAAAATATATTAGATAACTGTTTAAACTAGAAAAATTGCTTTGGTTGGAGATAAAAGTAGTTATAACATTTTTACACGGTTACTCAACAACACAGTCAACAACTCTCAGTGAAAATAAAGCTGCATTTTTTTTTTTTGCTAGGCACGAATGATAATCAACACAAGTAGCTTTTTGTTCAGCTTTGAAGAATTATAAAATTAAAATGATGCAATAATTATTAAAATAGATTTTAAATTTAGAATGTGTAAGTGTAACAACTTTTTAGAACGAATTGTGCTTTTTGAAACATTCATTAAAATCCTTCGACAGCAAATAAAAATAGAAAGAAGTACTTAAAAACACTGACATTTCACTGAAATTAGTTAATTAGTACGTTTTTATTTTATTTAATCATTTTGTTTTTCCTAGAACGAAAGTAATAATTTAGCAGTTTCATTCATAGATTGACACTATACTCCTCTTGGATTTAATTTACTCAACAACAATCAAGTATTTAGACAAGAAACAGACAATTTTCTAAAAAGAGGGTCAAAATGTCAACAAATCGTGGCAATACAATTAAAGAAAAAAAAAAGTGAAAATAGAAATAGAAACGTTGTCGAATCTTATGCAATTGACAGCATTTATAAGTGCCAAACCAAAAAAAAAAAAAAAAAAAAGTATCTCGCTTTAAGGACTAAAAAAAAATGGGCCACAGACAGCATACGCAAGTCAAAATGCCACGTCTGACATTTAATTGAAAAATTATTACAGGGAATAAATGTTATTTAAGTTATTATGCGTCATATCTATTCTAAAGAAATTAAAAATTTTCATTTACACTGCCAAAAATTAATGACTATTTTGGGTTTAGTTACGGACAGACATACAAATTCTGATCAGAAATCACTCCGATTATTACATTAGTCAACACTAGTGAAACAAATTTTTAATTAAGATTTGTTTAGAGCCAAGGATCTTGATTCTCTAGATTCTAGCTGGAGACCGTCAATTTTTTTAACCGGTCCGGTTCGTTAGCCTATTAATAAATTAGCAATATAATCAAACAAGAGCAACTACCTTTAATTTTTTTGTACATTGGCATAAAAAAAAAAAACTAAGAAAATTCAGGGGGGGTAAAATGTTTATTCTACATTAAATTATTAAATAACATTTATTTAATTGATTAAGTAAGTAAGTACTTTCTATTCGTTAGCTATCCTTATCACTCCCACGTAAGATCCAAAAATTGAATACTGGTTAAGTAAGAGAAAAACAATAATGCAAATTTTTGTCAATGCTTATTCTTTATGCAAATTATTCTTAAATCAACAAATTGAATATTCAGTTGGAAAGTTTGGGCCAGTCTAAGCTTATTTTAAATCTAAACTGTCTTGCATTTTCACCGGGTATGCCGTTTCTCAGAAGCCGGTTTTTTTTTCAAAGATTACATGATCAAAGGTAAAAAGAGAAGACAATCTTTTTTTTTTAAAAAAACAAAATATATATATATATATATATATATATATATTCAACAGACTTGTTATTGTTATGATGAGTGTTACTAATTATATAAATCAAGTAATAATTGTTGTTTTAAGTAGTTATATTTATCTTGCAGTAAAAAAAAATATTAGAAAATATGAAGCGACATTTTGGGGGGGGGGTAGTCAACCATTATCACTTTACCCCCCCCCACACACACACACACCACACATAAATAAGTATACCTTGAACCTTGTTAACAAAAAATGTGGAAGGAGCAGGTGTATATACCTTTTAATTTTATAGATTTTCACATTTTTGTCCATGTATATATCTATCAATATTGTACATAATTTTAATTAATAAATTAAATAAAAGTCAAACTGTGCTTAAATTCTTTTAAAAAATACAAGAGAAATGATTTTAAGAAGCCGATAATAATAAATCTTGTGTCCGTTCTCCGCCATCTTGAATACATCTGACAGCTTTAAATAAGAGCGGGAGGAGACTAAGAAGGAATACTATTTCTAACTTTATTTGCATGTAAAACACACTTCTTGATCAACATTATTATTGGTGGTATTTGATATCTCTTTAAACACCTGTCCGTCTGAAAGCGAAAAACCCGCCTTGGCGGCTGACCCTTTGAAACTAAAACCCAAGGACACCTGGGGTTGGGCAAAACAAGTAATTGCCGTGGGGACGCAAACTAGTTTCACGCCTAATGAGGCGTAACACTGGTTTGCATTGAAGTCAAAAAATTGTAGAAGGTGAATATTAAACATGAATGAAAGTCCTGCATATAGAGATTTCGTTGGTAAAATTGTAATATTAGTTACTATCATGTGTTTTTTATAAAGTTTTATTTATGAGTCCCGTTATGGTGAGGGTCCAACCAAAATAACCCGGGCCGTTTACTTTTACGTTTTTTTTCTTTTCCTTTCATTTTATCGTATTTTAAAAAGGAGGGAAAAATAGTCGCAATGACATATTTAACTTTTTTTTTTTTTTAAGTTTTAAAAAAAAAAAAAAAAAATACTAAATAAAATTGAGTCGACCGTCAAAAAAAAAAGTTAATTTTTTTCTTTTTTACAACTTGTAGTTAAAATTATAATCAAATAAACGATAGAGAAACTAATGATAGAAAAATAGATTTTTGTACCAAATAGTCACTTTTTTTTCTCTAATTGATGCCATCGAGAACATTTTTTTCCCTTATTTTTTGATCGGTAAAAGATTGTATCCATATTATTTTCTTATTATTCTTTAGGAGGGAAAATGTTTACGTTTTTTCTCCAAGTTTTATATTGAAGAAAAACGTTTTTTTTTGTTTTTTTTCCTTTTGCTTTTCTTTGATTCTCACTTTAAAAAGGCATCATTCCTAGACTCTAGTCTAGTTTTTATCTTTTTTTTTTTTTTTTAAAGTAATATTTAACTCTTCTTCAGATTTTATATTGCAGCTGTTCTTTTTAGTATATAGCTTTTCCTTTTATTTTTTTGTAATCTCGTACTTAAGAGCAAAAAAAAAAAAAAAAATATTGCAAATTAAATACATTCATCTTTGAATTTTGCTTACAATATTTGACATTCCTCTGAATGTGGAAACCAAAAAATATTTTCTTATGCAAGTACAAACTACTATATTTTTAATGATAATTTTATGTTCGGCAATCGCAATATATTTTTAACTTATAATTGTACACAATGCAAAGGTAACATATGTATAAATTTGCATATCTAAAAATTTGTTTAAAAAAGGAACATGCACATTTCATGTTTCAGTTTCAGCCTAGCCTTCCCCCCCCTACTCTCACTTAAAACCCAAAGAATCTAGAGAAACGTGAATTATTATTCCAATAAACTATCAGAAATCATTTATTGAATAAATAAAAAAGATTTAAATCTTGAATTAAGGTAATTTTCTAACAATTACGATGGCGCGGTAAATAGTTGCTATCATTACTAAAGTCAATTGGACACAGTTGCAAAAAAAAAAAAAAAAACTGCACACACGCATTGCATCACTGCAGTCATCAATTGTCTTCGTTCTGTTCTTTCTGCTTTACTTTTTGTTTGTAGCCATTATTAAACTGATAGATGGACAAGTGACTCACCCATTTCGAAAATCCCAGGCTGGCACCGATCAAAGGTACCCTCCGCGAAATTAAATCCAGGAAGTGTGGACCACTTTGTTACATTTCCTTAGAGTCGGTCAGGAGGAGGACTAGTAGCAGTTTCCAACCGTCGGCCCCTTCGATGGGCGATACCATTACAACACACACACGCCCAACAGCAATTAATACGACTAATAATTCAATTCAGTTACAACGAAACAAAAAACCTCGGTTACAGAGAATATTTTTTAAAAAAAATAAATATATATATATAATAATTAAAAACAAAAAATTCGAGTTAAAATTATTTTCAAAATTTTTGATGTGGGAATAAAATTAAAAAAAATCGTTGACCACTTTTAAAAAAAATGTCCTATTGCCAGCGACTAGCGACTATATTCAAGCAAGAATTATCACGTTTATTTATTAACAATAATAATAATAATTATTATTGGGCATGTGACTCTTTCTACAATCGACCGGCTCACATAACATTATTTGTTGTAACGAAGCAAAAGTCGTAGTCGGTACCTTCTTTCTTCCTCCTCCCACTCTTTCTTTCTACTTGAATGTCTCTCTATGGAATCTATATTATTAGACGATATCGTCTCTAATCGCTGCAGCAGTAATAAATAGGTATTTATTGATTTCTGGGGGGGGGGTTCGACTCTAGTCGCTGTACATTCCGTAAAAAAAAAATAGTTTCGATTAACAACAATTCCCGTCTCCTGGACCAGGGAATAGATTACTTTTTTGACATTCCTTATTAACCCGAAAAAAAGACTGAAGGTCCTAAGGAAAATAAATGAAAACGAAACCGACACGTTGTGAATTTTTAATCTATTAAGAAATCTTTCCTCGTCTCCTTCCTTACCTTACACAAAAAGTATCTCTTTGACGAAAAAAAAACTTTGTATGATGACTTCCTAATCTAGAGGTTCGTGGGGGGGGAGTCATTAAGGTAGATGTGACTACGAATGTGTTTTTTTTTTCTTTTTCTTTTGTTGCAGATTTTTCATGCGTACGTAGAGAAAAGATAATCTACCACAATTGCTTGCTTAGTTTTTTTTTGTAAGGGAGGGCAAGGAACTCTTCTCAAATTGGTTAAGGTATCACTCGTTGCTTAGACTGGTTAAGCAGGTTTTTTGTTTGAAAAACTTTCAATTTGCTTTGAAAAGTCCTTGATGCACATACGAAATACTACTGTTAAATCTCATTCTTTATTTTTTTTTAATAAAAAAAAAAATATAATCCAGTTTAGACTTTTTAGAGAATATCATTAAAAACAAATAATTGAGTAAAATTGATTTGTTTCAAGAAGTTTTAATAAATGCTTCATTTTTTTTTTGTTGTTAAATATTTTCATCCCCAATTTCGACCCAACAATTGATAACTTTATATTAAAAGTTGAAAAGTTTTAGCATTAGACCGAATTAAACTTTTTAAAAACATTAAATGTTTCAGAAAAAGTATCCAAAAGAACCCTATTTTTGCCATTTCAAATTTGCAACAGATCCGTATTATTGTCTGGGTCGTGTTAAACAAACTATTTCTTTTAGTAGTGACTAGTCTTTTTACTAAAAATTTATTTTTCTTATTTTGTAGTTGCGTAGGAAAACTCGACACTTATAGTCGATAATTCTAAAAGTGTGCATTTCAATATATCACTGTGGTCTCTAAATTGGTTCAATCTTATTTTCTTAGGATTCTTGGTAAGACTGCTCAGTTCGTAACTCTTTTTGCTAGAGCTGTGATCTAGGTTCGATTTCTGCTGTTAGTTATCAAAAGTAGTACATTATAGCCGGATATCAGAAGAGGAATTTATTTTCGTGAAATAACTTCATGCTTAACACTAACAGTGATTTTGGTGTCTGAGCAAATTATATTTATTTTTGGACTCTATGGTATTTTGGGTAAGAACTTAAGAAGCGACAACAATTATCACTATCACTTAGTAACAGAAGAACGCCTTAGTTGTGGCTCAACCGAGTGGAGCCTCGTGCTTCTTGCTGCTTTGATTATAAAATTGATGGTTTATTCAAGTTGGCGAATATAAACACCTGTTCTGTAACATCACCCTCGCGCTTCTTGGTCTGCTCCCTACACGCTTTACCAGCTGAATTCTTACCCACTTTTTTTTTATTAACATAAACAGCGTTGTAAGATTAGCGTGAATATTGTAGTTTGTATAAAAAAAATAAAAAAAAAATAGGTAATTAATTAAAATCACATGACATGAAAAATTACTTGTCAGCAAGGGATTGTCTGCACATATATTAACTTTTTAAGTAAAACTGGTTCTTTTTAAAAAAAAAAAAAAAAAAAAAAAAGGAAATTTATTTTTATGGTATTCTTTTGATTACTGTGTATTTAGATAAAAAATTTAACAAATACTGAATGATAATGTTGGCATTCATATTGGTAAATTGTTAGTCTCAAAATTACATTGATGTGGCTGCCTGAATTTCTGGATAAGGACTTATGATCATTTATATTTAGTCAGACTAATGTCCTCATCTGAATTTACACTATTTTCTTTATTGCAATGTTTCTGCCTTTTCAGGTGCTTATCAAGCTAGGTAACCTTAAGTGAATATAAAACTGAACCCTTCATTTAATTTAGGAGGGCAGATTGTCCCACTGTCCATGTGTAGGGATATCTTGTCCTGTTTTGTATATTTTTTTTTTTTTTTTTTTTTTTTATAACTGATCAGTTATAGTTCATTTTTTTTTTTCCACCGAGTCTATATCTGAGCCTATACTAGCCAGCCTGGGGATTGGACACATTACTATGTTATCAAATTCACATTAATACACTAAGCTACTGGGACAATCCTAAGGTATCAAACTAGGAGCCTTAAAGCAAATCTGTTTCTTCTCTATCACATTTTGGCTGTTGTGCCCCTCATGAAGCAAGTGAATTAAAGCATTGGTTCATGAATTTAGTGGTATAGTAATTGTGAGTTCAATCCCTGGTCCGGTTAGTACAGACTTAGACTCATTAGAAACAGAGCAAGCAATAACTGGGCAATACTAAATAAGAACAAGACAAGATATCCTGAGATATGGATGGTGGAATGAGAATAATCTGTGATAGATTAAGTAAAGAGTTAATTTCAAAATTCTCTTAAGGTTATCTGGATCCAAAAAAAAAAAATTTGACAAAGGTCAGAGAGTGCAATAGACAAAATGTTGTAATAATAACAAAGATGATGATATTAGTCTGAATGTAAATGATGCAAATTATTTCTTCATGTTACATGACTTACATTTCAGAGAAATTTTTAACTTTTCTATTTTGGTAAAATATTCTTTGGCTTTTTGACATGACAAGCATACAGATTGAAATGTTATAATTAATTGCATTATTTAGTCAGACTAATGTCCTCATCTTCATCACTACCACAATATTTCAGCTGTTCTGCTCTTCTTCAGGAGTCTGTCAATCTAGATATCCTTTGTAGTGAGTTCGAAATAACTCCCTTCACCCACTTCCTTCAAATTTGCAGAACTGAAGAAAAAGGAAAGAAATTCACTAGCCTATGTGAAATTGATTTTGGGACAATGAAAACTTTGTCTTCACAGAAATTGTCCAGTGAGCCAAGAAGGAAAGAAAGCAGCCAGCCTATGCAAAATTCATTTTGATATAAAATGAGAAAAATTAGGGAGTCTGAAGTCATGTGAAAGGTTTCATTTCAGTTGCTCACGACCATCTTTGAAGTACTCGGTGTAAAATTACTCACAAATTATATTATTGGCCTCTAATTGGTAAGAAGCTCTTAAAAGTATTTTCTTTCAACAATCCCAAAAAGCTAAGTATTTCAAACTATCTCCCTTCATCTACTTTTGATTATATGAAAGCATATATCCCTTCAGTGAACAAACTCTCTTACCTTTGTTTAAACATTTTTGATTGTATCAGATCATTTAATCTGTTATATGAACATTTTCTCTTTATGATAATTCATTAAAACTATGAAATTTAAAAATTTGATTTATTTTCCTGCAATGAGCAACTTCAAGCATATAAATTCCTTTTTTTTTTTTTTTTTTTTTTTTTAAAATTACCTACATTTCCTCATCATTATCATCCGTCATTTATCTTGGCATGGGTAAATCAAGTGTTCATTTTAACCCCTAAGCCCCATGCCACTGTACCTTCAAGAAATTCTGAACTGGACATTTTATTTAATCTAGAAGGGGAGATTATTCTGCTCATTATTCCACTGTCACTACCTACCTATGCATGGGGGCACCTCGGCGTGGTGTAATGGTTAGCAAGCTTGTCTTGCTAGATCAGTTACTACTGAAAAGTGAGTTCAATCCTCACTGGATGCCCAATACTTTCGGGAAAAGTGAGTTCGATTCTCACTGGATGCCCAATACTTTCGGCCTTGTGTCACATCTAAGCCGGGCTTAGAAAATCACTACCTGCCTATGCATGCAAATGCCTACACAACATCTGCGTAGCAACAAGCACCAATATCTTTAAACTTCCCCATTGGTCCATACTGACTAACAAAATAACTCCCTGCTTAAATCCAAAATGCTGTCCTGGAGCCTATTCATGGTTATTTAAGGAACAGGCCCAGGCAGTGGAAAATGCGCACACTTTGCTGTTGCCATATTTACGATCAAACTGAGAGATCATCTCGGATAATTGAATGACTATGAATTACCACACTATAGAAATACGACATGGAATATTGATCAACAACTTCATGAAACTAACTAATCACACTTGAAACAACAAAAGATTAAATCTGAGCATGATTTCTAACACCATCAGTATGAACCCTGAAAGCTTCAACCCACTGAAGACAAATGATCATGCAGCTAAGTAAAACCAGAACACTCTTTATATCTATTAACATTGCATTCATATCTACTGGGAATAAATTCACTTAAGTTGTTGCATTTTATTTCTGTAAATAATAGTTAACCTTCATTATGTCTTTTCTCACATCATTTATGTTGCATGGCAGAAAGGAGGAATACATTTCA